AGTGGAAACCAGTATAAAAGAGGTAAAGAGTAAAGAATTAAAATCAAGAATACTATATTTGGCTCTGCCACTAAGACTTTCAGAGAAATTATTCACACTCCAGCTATTTCCAAGGAGGGTTTTGGATGACTTGTAATGAAAACATAGACACAAGGAAGATAAAATTGATACAAAAAGAGAAAAACCACACAGCACTTTGAGGAAGGGGGATTATTATACCAGGAACCAGAAAGGGCTATAAGTAAACAAACAAAAAAAATTTAGCTGATTTATTTACAGTCAGACCTTTTTATCCACTCCCATCCCTTCCTCCATTCCCCCACCTGTACTAATTTAAGCGAACTCACTGCCAACACTTACACTAGGCTGTTTTTAGCCAATTAAGAGCCATAGCCATGAAGACTTCCAGGCTGTGCAGAGGTCTGAAGGCTCTGGAGTAGAGGGGTTGTGCATTCTGATAATCTGCAACGTGTACTTCACCAGGGCAGAAGAATACGGAGAGGAGGCCACCTAATCTTAGACAAACCATACACCTAAAGAGGTAAAAGGCAGCACAGGAAGCACATGTTCAGTGTTAAGTCGACATCCAGTAAGTACTGCAGAAATTCAGGCACCAAGCGCTATAACTGGGAAGACTTCTGCAGGAGGTTGGATTTGGGCTAGGCCTTGAAGAAAGGTAGGGCTTTGATAAGGGGACTTAGGTGGAGAGGACACAACAATTAGCAAGGTAGGGATCTGCATGACCAACAGCCACAAGACCTGCACTGCAGAGGGTGTGTGAAGGAGGTATTGCTAGGGACGTAGGTGGTGGTAGATGATTTATTGATCATACATGTACTATGTTCCAGGAACTATACTTTATAGTTAAGTGAATTATTCTGGAACTTAGGGTCCATGAAGGTCACCGAGGAAACACAATCCAGAATACATTTTAGGAAAAGTCATCTGGTGGACAGCTGATCGGCAAGGGAGCAAATTAGATGCTGAGATTAAAGGGGTCACTGTAATAATCCTGGTCTGGGAGTGAGGGTTGGTTAGGGACTTGGATTAGAGTGATGCCTGTGGAAATGGTAGTCCACCCACGGAAAAAAAAAAAAAAATTGAGGAAGGATCAATAGTATTTGGTGACTGGATACTTGGGGATGAGAAATGTTAAGAAGCACTAAGGTTAAAACTTGAATGATGGAGAGACTATCCTATTAAGTACAACTGTTATTAACCACAAGAAGAAAAATACTTAAAACGGTTAGTAAAGCTTTCCTAGTAGGGTAAGTGAGGAATGTCAGAAAAACTATCTGACTCAAGCACTGAACTTTCAGAGAAAGGAAGGAATCTGTCATCATGAGATCTTTTCTAATCTTAAGTACCACTAGGGAAGTAGATATTTTTGATCAAATAACTCACACGATTTAGAAAACCTTTTTGTAGAGATTCAGTGTGGAACATATGGGGCTTTCGTTGTCTTTAGCTCTCCCATCTGTGAGACATTCTAAAGAAAGATTATATCACTAGCTCTAATCTTTTCTTCCATCAGAATATTCACTATATCTTGTTTCAGATGCTAATTGTTTTGTGCAGACTTCTACAGTTACCCAAAAACCATTCTACTGTTGTTAAAAATTGTCCAAATGAAATTGTTAACTAACATTTGATTAGCAAAAATAGGGATGAATATATGCTCAATTTGAGTAGTTTATTGCTACTTAGGGTAAACACCAGTAATTCCTAAGGTGTACTTAGAGCCATTTTAAAGGACCTAACATTTTTTTTGAAAACGTATCTGAGAAATCAAGTCATATTTTGGTAAGAATGAAAAAGACCAACAAGGTCAAGTATGCTCTCAGTATGCTGAAAGGTTGAGTGTTAAACCACTCAGTAAGAAGCCAGCTCTGGTTCAAGGATTCCCTAAGTATGCTGCACTAGGATTAGGTTTCTGTTAATCACATAGAAGTAATATTTAAGATGCAGAGAGCTTATCCCCTAAAGAATATTGGCAGATTAAAAAAAAAACTTTATTGACTTTAGAGGGAAGAAGACAGATTGAGGGAGGGAAGAAAAGGGAAGCAGGGGGCAGGGGGAGACGGAGAAACATCATTGATTGGTTGCCTCCTGTGATTGCTCAGACTGGAGATTGACCATGCAGCTGAGGACTCTGCCCTGACCAGGAACTGACTCCATGACCTCTTGGTGTACAGAACGATGCTCCAACCCACTGAGCACCCCAGCCAGAGTGGTAGTTAATAATTAAAAAAAAAATTACTATCCTTTGGTGCTCAACAAAGTAGATTCTCTTAAAAGACTAAGGCTGTCTCGGTGGACTGTTTCCTAAATTGTAAGGTTGTTAGACAATCTCACCTTTAACAAATGGCTGTTTTCATTTGTTGCTCAGACTTTTCTCATTTACTACTGTCCTAAGTATATTATTTATTTCCCCTAGGACATCAGTATTGAGAATCTGGCACCAATCATTGGCACATTCAGCTAGCTTTTGGATCACCTGAGTGTTATTCCTGGGAGCTTGAAATTCTAAAAATCCTAATTGCTTATTCTTGCAGTCTCCAACTTTAGGAACAAATGTGTTCTATAAACAGGTTCTTGGGATCTATTATTCTGCATTTAGTTTAAGATGATAGGCTCCTGTGCAACTGCCAAAATGTGTGGATGCTCCCAGTAGTGATAGAGGTAGAGTGGTGGAGGGCTTGTCATGGGTGTCAGATCAGAAACCCAGTTCTGCTTCTGCTTCTTGTTCCTGGCAAGCCTAGAGTTGCAAAAAAGAGCAAAGATGTAGCAGGATAAAGGAGGAACAATCCAAAAGTACAATTAGTGAATGGATAAAAAATTGGGAGTATACTCATATACCGCTCAGCAATGAAAAATAAACTACTGATACATGCAGCAACATGGTTGAATCTTCGATGTATTTTGCTAAGTGAAAGCAGCTACGTACAAAATGCTATGATAGCATTTTTGGAAAGGCAAAAAACTATAGGCATTGTAAAAAAAAACAACAACAGTGGTTGTCAGAAGTTAGGGGTGGGAGGTGTTGACTACAGAGGGACAAGCATGAGCAAAATTTTGGGATAATGGAACTTTTGTATTCTGGATCGAGGGGTAGTCACATTACTCTAAGCATACCAAAGCTCATAGAATTGTACAATATAGAGAATTTCACAGTACACAAATTAAAGAAAAAACATATGTGTAATAAAGTTAGGGTAGCTAGGATAGAGGTTTCCCTTGGAGTTGTAGTAGAGACTTGGAGAAACCTGAGGGGTGGGGGTGGCACGCCCAGGGTGCTGGTCGTTTCCTTGAGTTTCATGCTGGTTGTTACCTGGATGATGTTTGTTCATTGAGGTATATGTGCTCTTATGATATTATTTTATATATGTATACTTCAATAAAAAGTAAACCAAAAAAGATAGACTTCCAGCCTTTACTGTCTTCTGGTCTCTTTTCCCTAATTATTCCCTTATATGTTTTACTACTATTATGGGTAATAGAAATTACTAGGAAAATCATAGCTTGAAGCTCTTCCTGGTCAGGTTTGGCATCTGTTCCAAAATGTCTCAAACAACAATACCACGTTACCTGACCACCAATTCTATTCACCATGCTGTTCAGCAGACAAGGATTTGTTTTGCTAGCTCTGAGGTAACTGTATCTGGGGATGGAATGGAGAAAGAGCTGGTAGTGAAAAGTACAAGAAAATAGTCAATGAGTAGTGACTCTTCTAGTCTTAGACAAATGGAATGGAAGAAAATGCATCTTCTGTGTGATTTAAATGATCTTTCTTAGCCCTGTTTCAAGACTCCCAATAACAAATGTTACAGAGAATTGCTATGGATTGTTGGGTCTAACACTGTGCAGAGATGTGAGAAATGCTTATGAAATCATGTCTGATGTTTTCCAATTCCATGCTGAGTTAGGGTGGGTCAAACTCACAGCATCTCTGATAGAGTATGGATTCTTAGAGGAACGGATGAATAAACCTGACTATAGAAACTGAAATGTAAATAACTTCTTCACTAAAAATCTCTCAAAGATTTCTCTACAGGTGATGAAAAATGGTGGACCATATTCTTCTCAGTCTTCTGCAACCAATGGTAAACACTACAGAGCAAGAAGAACAGGAAGTACTGAGTCAAGTATCAGATGCTGTGATTGGTGTTTTGTATCCCCTCAGAACAATCCTGCAAGGTAGTGATTTGAATCCCATCTAAAATAAGGTAAAACAAAGACTCAGGTTAATTTGTACAAGGGGAGTTGAAACAGGTCTAGGTTTCTGATTCCAAAGGAAAAGGGCATAAACTTTTAAGAGTGTACCGTGTGCTAGCTAAGATTTATTTGTAATCATACTGATTCTCAAATTATGTCCATATTACAGATATATAAAAAGAAAGAGAAATGATACAACTTGCCCAAGGTTAGTTATATAACCAGTAAGTGGCAGAGCTGGCATTGAAATTAAGCTCTGATTCCACAGCCCACATTCTCCACATTATAGTACTCTACTGCCAAAGCAAATGAGAGCTGTATTATGCAACTCTGCAGGGAGATAAATGGAATCTTCAACATTGGACTAAACCACCAGATAAACTTGTGTCCAAAACATAACATTTGTGCTTTTCATCTTTAAAATTCAAACATCTCAATAAAATCTCTTAGATTTACTTACATTTGCTTTCTTTTAATCAGTAATTCAAACCTTGAGGGACACATGACCCACTAATATCAGCTCACAGCATGGGAAGAAACTGGTATGGTAGGAAAACCACTGTTCCAGGAGTCAGGAAATAAAGATGCTAATTCTGGCTGTTCTTGATTTGCAGTGTAACTTTAGTTAAGACATTGGCATCTCTGGGCTTCTGTTTCACCACCATAAATTAAAAGTATTCAAGGTAGACAATCTTGGAAAGTAACTGTTTAATACTTTAGAAAACAAGTTTTCCTTATACATGAAGTCCCCAGGTTGCCATATTTGGAGTTTAAATACTATGCAGTGGTTTAGCAGGTACTCGTTTTTATTTACTTTAATATTTTTATTGATTTCAGAGAGAGAGGAAGGGGGAAGAGAGCAAAACATCAATGTGAGAGAAACAATGACTAGTTGTCTCCCACACAGACTCCAAACTGGGACTGAACCATGCAGGCATGTACCCTGAGTGGGAATCGAACTGCTGACCTTTTGGTTTATGGGACGACGCTCCAACCAACTAAGCCACGCTGGCCAGAGCAGCAATTAGTACTTTTATTAATAATTCTATACAATCTATAAAGCTGCACAAAAATTCATACATTTGACCCTTGAAGAACATGATGGTTAGTTGGGGGAGGCAATCCTCCATGCAGTTGGAAATCTGCATATAACTTTGCTTAATCCTCATGTGAGGACACGCTAATCGACTTTTAGAGAGAGGGCAAGGGAGGAAGAGAGGGAGAAAAACACCAATTGGATGCTTCTCGTACTTGCCCCAATAGGGGACTGAACCCACAACCTAGGCATGTGACCTGACTGGGATTCATACCCATAACCTTTCGGTTTATGGGAAGGATCTCCAACCAACTGAGCCACATTGGCCAGAGCAACATACAACTTTTGATTCCCTCAAAACTCAACTATATAGTTGTCCCTTGGTACCAAGGAACCACCTACAGATACCAAAATCCATGGACGCTCAAGTCCCTTATGTAAAATGGCACAGAACAATGCACACAGTCAGCCCTCCACATACTTTGGATTCCCAATCCATGGATAGTTGAATCCATAAATGGGACACCTTGGTTGGGACAGGAAGGGTCAACTGTATTTTTTTAACAAAAAAAATCACCTAGCAAGGACATCCATAAAGCAATGTGATATATATTCTGACACATAAATGGCATCATTTTATAACCTCTTGATATTTTACAACATGTGACCAGTAAATACTTCAAAATGGCTTATGTGGAGGTTTTGCTCTAAGGTAATTTCTGGGGCTTGTGAATTATTTTACAATAATTTTCTCCTGGTATGTTTAGTTTGGTACCAATCTACCGGATTTAATGTAAGAGCTATAATATAGTGTATATAGTTTAGGAGTGTAGTATATACTTCAGTGTGTTAACATAAACTCTAAAACCTACAGGAGAAATTTTGATTAACTTGCCTAGTAGCTCTTGAATACAGTTTAAAAATTATGTGATGCCCCAAACTTTTCCAGGAAAGCGTCAGCTTGTAAAATAAACTTTTTTCTTTCAGAATTCAAGACACATTTAACATGGATTTTACAATAAAGTTTATTAGCTGTTCTCCTCTTTCTCATAAATGGAATGGATAATGTTGATAATTCTTTACAAACTAGTACTCATTTGTTTAAGAAACTAATGTGGAGGTTGTCAAAAACACATACTTAATAAACAATGCCAAAAAAGCAATGGGTAGCTATAACAATATTAATATAAAAGACCAGAGAAATTGATTTCTGAAAGATCTTTCACTAAAATTTCTTGAAATTGCTCACTGTGAAGATTTGCACAACTCTAGTGCAGAGCAGCCATGAGAGTTGAAAGTTGTGTGGTCTGAGGGGAAAATACACACAGGAGGCTTTTGACTGTTTGCCTATTAATGAAAGGAGAACTGGAAGGAGAAGCAGATGATCAAATTCAAACCCAATGACAAGAACAACAGTAACAAAAATAAACCAACCAGGAACCATTTGAAAACTTTTGTAGAAAAGAGGAGAACATGCCCATACTTTTACTTGTAATCTAATTTCCCTAGAAGTTTCTTTCTATGACCACCATACCTCATTTTCAGTTTACATGATTAAAGAAAATAAAGTCTAATCAATTAATATTTAATTTAAAAACTAAACAAAAAGAGTAGGTGGCAAAAGAATTATATTTTAAATATATATGTTTGTGTGTGCAACTATGTAAAAAATAATTCCCATAGTTACAGAGTTTAAAGAAAGTTTTATATATATATTTATATATATATTTTATTATAACAAAAATAGGCAGTTATTGTGGGTAAAATATTCATTAAAATCTGACCCCTAAGAATATGGTTAAAGTGTTGGACTATGAGTTGGACTCCTTTTCCATTGTCATAATGATTACTATATCACCATTGTAATGTCTATTTTGTGTTTATATCTTTGAAATTTTCTCAACCTTATGTGTAAAGGGTGAGCTCCCCTAGCACCTAAACATGGCCTTAATTCAGAAATGTGATGCTCGTTATGTATAGATAATTTTTGTAAGACACTATAAATAGTGTTGTAGAAGAAGGTTAAAAATATTTAAACACCATTATCCCTAGCAGATGTTTTGGGAAAAAAAAACAACCCTCAAACAATAAAAGACATTAAAAACTCTTATGAAAAATGAATTATCCCTTGTAAAATTATGAAAGTTAACCCAGACATTAATTGTGAAATTAAAAAAACATGTATTTCCTTATTTCTCTATAATAAAGTATTCATTGTGATAACAGAAAACGAGAAAAGATTTGAGAACTAATATATTGGCCAAACCATGCTATTAAAATTAAGCGTGCATTGTTGCTCCAAGTTTACTAAATCATTGGTTAAAACCATTTTTCTTTCATTGATACTGAAATCTGAAAAAAATGTATATAAAGCTTTTTTGAAAATCTTTTAAAGTTACTTTCCCTTAAACATTAAGGAATTTTACCACAATTTCCCCATCTTCCCAAATCCTTAATAGCTGGTCAGGCCATTCCATCTTCAGCTCTGAAAAATGGCCACAAACCAACAGTGACATACAATAATAAAGATGCTACAACTTGAAGGAGACACCAGATGTCAAAAATAAGTGCAACTGCAGACCATGATGAGTGGGATATGATTCAAAATGGAAGGAGTATTGAAGACAGACTCCAAAGGAAAGGGCAAAGAAATGTCAAAGAAAATGGCATTGTAGAAAAAAGAAACAGAAACGTCAGTCCTCATAACTTTTCTTTTGCTGGAACCCAGATGTAAGGACCAGACTGTTCTTCTATGATCTGCTTCACTTGGTTGTAAATGTCTTCCAGAGTATCACCCTGTACAATAGCTGTAATGAAATCAGAAACCTCCATTAACTGTCTATCTTCTCCATTATAATTATTGGTGAGAGTAGAAGATAAATCTTAGACGTAGTTATCCATCCAGGAAGAGGTACCATTTATGTACTCTTCGCTTAGTAAAAACTGGTAATTTCATTAATTTTCCTATTTGTATAATATAAAAAATTTTATTTTAAAAACTGATCAAAAAGTGAGATTTGGTAATTTTTACTTTGTTTTGTGTACTTTGGAAATACTGAAGTATTTAGAGCCAAAAGAGCATCTGTCTGCAATTTACTCCTAAATGTTTCAGAAAAAAATTGTAAATGTAATAAAATGTTAATATTTGGGGAATAAGGGTTAAGAGTATATAAGAATTACTGATCCTAGTCTTAAGATTTTCCCTTATGCCTGCAGTTATATAATTTAAATCTATATATAAAGCACTTGAGTTACAACACCATGGCACTTTATGGTACTTTCTGTTAATATCAAATATAAGCTTACCATAATTTCAAACAAACTGTTAACAATAATGGCAAAAATCTGCTCAAAGATACTTAAGGAATAATTTAAAAGACAAAATGAATGAGATTATTTGGGAACTGCTACCCAACTCTTGTCTTTTTAAACAAAAACTATCTTAAAATGGATCAAGGTTTGTAAAGAATAAAAGTCAGTTTCAAAGAAGAAATCAAATCTCAGTCTATTTTTCTTTAGCAACATATGAATTATTTTCCTGTGCATGCTGTCCTAATAACCCAAGAAACATCAAATTTCAGGATTCCTTATCACTACTGCCTAGGTTAGATATACTACTCTGAAAATGATAGTATTGATTACTACTGGTAGGTGTTTGGCATAGTTCAAAATCCATTTCAATGGATCACTTCCATATGGCTCTAAAGCAAAATTCTATCATACAGGTAATGCCACATATGATGCCAACCTGTGAAATGCTCAGTAAATTCTTGTTCCAGTTTCATGGCTCTCTCAAACGTTTTTCTGGCTTGTTCTTCTGTTAGACGCTTATTCATTTCCCTATGCAAATAAATTCAGAAATTGGTAATTACTATGTTTTAATACTTTTTGAAGAAAGATGACAAAAGACGTAAAACAAAATCATGAAAAGTTAAGCTCTACTGAGACGATAAATGTCATTAAAAACTAGATTCAGTTACTGAAAATGTAGCTATATACTTGGAATGACAGAGAAGAGTTTCAACACATCTTTGCATTGGCTCAAGGCAGGCAAAAAAAGAGAAAAAATCCTAAGATTTGACAGGTTTGGCTTTGATAAAATCTTCGTATCAAAATATGACTTCCAGATCTACCTACCAATTTGTAGATAAAAAAGGGGATAAAAACACTGAACACCACTATGAGAAGGACATTAGAAAAATATAGTCTGGGGAAAGAATGACTTAATTTTTTCAATTAATAAATAGGAAAAAAAGAGGTAATGTTTGATTCCAATTCCAAATAATGTCTTTCAAGACAGTTTGGAACTTGATTCAAACAAATTGAAAAACATGCAAAAATCTTGCAAAACAATCAAGAAAATGTGAACTGATATTTAAGGAGTTATGAAGTGTGACATCATAGTGATGTTTTTAAGTAAGAAATTCCTATCTTTCAAATACAACTGAAATATGTGGATGAAATCATATATCTGGGACTTGTTTCAAAATAATCTGGAGTGGAGGGGTAAGGAGGTCGGGGACAGTGAAAGGAGACTGATCATAGTTAATAATTGTTGTTGCAGCTGGATGATGGGTCATGGGAATTTGTTCTCAATTTAAGAAGGAAAGCTTTCAATATTTCACCATTAACTATGATGTTTGTTTTCATATTTTGTTGATGACCTTTATGAGATTAAGGAAATTATTATTCAGTTTTTAAAATGTTTTTGTCATGAATAGATGTTAATTTTATCAAATGCTATTTCTGTATTTATTAAAACAATCATATGCTTTAATTCCTAAAATCTGTTAATATGGTATATACTATAGTGATTTTAAAAATTTAAAAATTGTGGTAAAACATACATAAAAATTACCATTTTTACACATACAGTTCAGTGGCATTAGTACCTTCATTTATGTTGTTCTGTAACCATAACCACCATCCATCCCTGTAATTCTTTTCATCTTGTAAAACCCAAACACAACACCTATTAAAAACAATGCTATTCTCACCTACCCCCAGGCGCCCCTGGCAACAACCATTGTTATTTTCTGTCTTTATGATTTTGACTACTCTAAGTACCTCATATAAGTGGAATCACACTTCATTTGTCTTTTTGTGACTGGCTTATTTTACTTGGCATATCTGCAAGGTTCATCCATGTTGCACCATATTGCAGAATTTCCTTCCTTTGTATGAACATACCACATTTGCTTATCCATTCACCACTTGATGAACATTTAAGTTTCTTTCATGTGTTAGCTATTGTGAATAATGCTACTATGAACATGGGTATACAAAATCTCTCTTCAAAACACTTTGAATTTTTGAGTGTTTACTCCCAGGAATGAAATTGTTGAATCATATGGAAATTCTATTTTTAATTTTTTGAGGAACTGCCATACTATTTTTCATGGTGATATATCATTTCATATTGCCACCAACGGAGAACAGAAGTTCTGATTTTTCCACATCCTTGCCAGCACTGTTTTGCTATTTTTTTGATGGTAGCCATCCTAGTGTGTATGAGGTGGTATCTCATTGTAGTTTTGATTTGCATTTCCCTAATGAATAGTGATGTTAAGAATTCTTTCATGTGTTATTTCATTTGTATATCTTCTTTGCAGTGATGTTTATTCAAGCACTTTACTCATTTTTGAACTGACTTGTTTTCCCAATTCAAAACAACCCAACAATTGGGTTGTTGAGTTTTGGGGGTTCACTCTGTATTTTCGGTATTAACCCTTTATCAGATAATATGATTTGCAAATATTTTCTACCATTCTGTGGGTTACCTTTTTATGTTGCATATAGTACCTTGATACAGAAAAAAACTTAAAATATTTATTAAGTCTAATCTTTTTTATGTTTTTGATACCTGTGTCTTTTAGGTCATAATTGAGAAATCATCGACAAATCGAATGTTTTAAAGCTTTTGTCCTTGATTTTTTTAAAGAGTTTTCTTAAGAATTTTTAATTTATATACTTTTGGAGACAGGGGAAGGGCGGGAGAAATGGAGGGAGAGAAGCATCAGTGTGTGAGAGATACATTGTCTGGTTGCCTTTCGCATGCTCCCAACTGGGGACCTGGCCCACAATCCAGGCATGTGCCCTGACTGGGAATCAAACTGGTGACCTTTTGGTTTGCAGGCTGGTACTCAATCCACTGAGCCACACCAGCCAGGGCAAGAGTTTTATTTCCTTACATTTAGGTCCTTAACAAATTTTGAGTTAGTTTTTGTATATGGTGTTAGGCAAGGGTCCAACTTTCTTTTGCATGTGGATATCCAGTTTTCCCAGCACTATTTGCTGAAAAGATTATTCTTTCCTCCTCTGAATGGTGTCGAATCCTTGTCAAAAATCAATTGATTACATATGAAAGGGTTTATTTCTGAGCTCTCTATTACATTCCATTGGTCTATGTGTCTCCCTTTAGTCAATACCACACTGTCATGATTACTATAGCTTTGTAATAAATTTTGATATCAGGAATCGTGAGTTGTCTTTTTTCTGTTCTTTTTAAAGATTGTTTTTGTTATTTGGGTGTATCTTGAGTCCATGCAAATTTTAGTATGGGTTCTTCTGTTTCTACAAAAAAGGTCAGTGTGATTTTGATAGGAATTGCAGTGCACCTGTAGATCACTTTGGGAAGTTTTGATATTTTAACAATAATTAAACCTTCTTGCCCTGTCTGGTGTGGCTAAATTGGTAGGAGCATTGTTCTGCAACTGAAAGGTTGTGGGTTTGATTCCTGGTCAGGGCACATACTAGGTTTAGGGTTCAATCCCCTGTCTGGGTGCATATAGGAGGCAACCAACTGATGCTTCTTTCTCCCTTCCCCTTTCCCTCTCTCTCTAAAATGCAATGAAAAAAATATCCTTGAGTGAGGATTAAAAAAAAAAAAAAAGGTTAAACCTTTCTAATCTTGTACATGGAACATGTTTCATTTATTTTTATCTTTAATTTTTTCAGTGCTTTGTAGTTTTCATTGTACAAGTCTTTCACTTCAGTTAATTTGTAAACATTTTATTCTTTTTGATGGTATTATAAACAATTGTTTTTATAATTTCATTTTTTGGATTGTTCATTGTCTGTGTATAGAATTGCAAATGATTTTTGTGGATTGTCTTTGCTGCTTTGTTGAATTTATTAGTTCTAAAAAAATAAAAACTCTGAAGACGCAGTATCTTTGCGTCTTCAGAGTTTTCTACAGATAAGATCATATCATCTGCAAACAGAGATAATTTTCCTTCTTCCTTTCCAGTCTGGATGCCTTTTTCTTTCTTACCTGGGACAATTTTTATCTTTGATCTGGCCAGAACCTCCAGTACTATGTTAAATAGAAATGGTGAAGGCAGGCATTCATGCCTTGTTCCTGATCTTAGAGAAAAAGTTTTCACTCTTTTACCACTGAGTATGATGTTTGCTGTGGGTTTTTCATAGATGGCTTTTATACCGAGGTAGTTTCCTTCTCTTCCTATTTTGTTGACTGGTTTTTTTAAATCATGAATGGGTGTTGAGTATTGCCAAATGCTATACATCTGCATTAGTTGAGATGATAGTGTGGATTTTTCCCTTCAGTTTGATGATGTTGTTTATTATGTTGACTTTCATGTTGAATCATTCTTGCATTACAGGAATAAATCCTACTTGGTCATGGTGTATAATCTTAACATACTGCTGAATTCAGGCTTGCTAGTATCATGCTGCTGATTTTTTCATCAATGTTCTTAAATTATTTTGGTCTCTAGTTTCTTGTAGTGTCTTTTTATCAGGGTAATATTGCCTTCAAAGAATGAATTAGGAAGCGTTCCTCTTCAATTTTTTGGAAAAGAATGAAAAGACTGGCATTAGATTTTTAAAAAATGTCTGGTAAAATTCACCAGAAGTCATCTAATTCAGGGCTTTTCTTTGTTGGGAGTTCTAGATTACTGACTCAGTCTCCATACTATTTACAGATCAACTTAGATTTTCTATTTCTTTGTGACTTAGTCTTGGTAGATTTTGTGTTTCTATAGAAATTTGTCCATCTTGGTTATCTATTTTTGGGGGCAAAACTGTTGATAGTACTCTTATAATCATTCTATTTCTGTAGTATTAGTAGTACTGTCCTTTTATTTTGTATTTTAGTAGTTTTGAGTCCTTTTTTCCTTAATCCATTTTGCTAAAGATTTGTCTTTTTTTGTTGATCTTTACGAAGAATCAACCTTTGGTTTCACTGATTTTTCTCTATTGTTTTCTATTCTTTCCTTTAAAACCTTTTAATTATGTTTCATTAATCAATTACAGTTGTCCCAATTATTCTCCCTTTGCCCCCCTACATGGAGCACCACCCACTCACTCAGGCAATCCCCTCACCACTGTTTATGCCCATGAGTAGCTACTTCAGCTACTCCATTTCCTCCAGTGTACTTTACATCCCCATGGCAATTCTGTAACTACATATTTGTACTTCTTAATCCCCTTACCTCTTCACCCATCCCCCCATAACCCTCTCTCCCATCTGGCAACCATCAAAAAGCTCTCCATTACCATGATTCTGTCTCTATTCTTATTTGCTTAGTTTGTTTTTTAGATTCAACTGTTGGTAAGATATGTACTTATTGCCATTTTATTGTTCAGTCTAGATCTTCTTTTTCTCAAATAAGACCTTTCAGTGTTTCATATAATAATGATTTGGTGATGATGAACACCTTTAGTTTTTATTTGCCTGCAAAGCTCTATCTGCCCTTCGATTTTAAATGACAGCTTTGCTGGGTAGAGTAATCTTGGCTGTAAATCCCTGCTTTTCATGACTGAATATCTGCCAGTCCCTTCTAGCCAGCAAAGTTTCTTTTGAGAAATCAGCTGACAGT